CCATTGCACTGGGCCAAATGCACAAAGGTGCGTATATAAACCGATTCCGAACTATTCGCAATGCCCGGGCAAATAGCCACAGTAATGTCATCTAAAGACGGTGTAAATAATAGAGAGATATAGAAAGAATTGACTACATCGGCTGGGATCAACGACTTACCCTCCTGCTCCTTCAGCGGCTGATAGAGATCGTATGTTAATGTAGAGCCATCGGGCAGCGACAGATAGACGCGCTCACCCAGCGGCCAGGGGCAACGTACACGGCCAACAATGCTATGTAATACGGTCTGAACATGACCGCTAAAACCCCATAGGCGTGGTGGGACATACCTGAAAGAGTGAATTAAATATATTAAATAAACAAAAGAAAATGAAGCATTGCGTGTTATTAATTATAGCCTGTGAGCCAGTCAGCTGTTTTTAAATCAAGGCAAAAGCAAAAGCAAAGCTATGCATAATTTATAACAGTAGACAGTTGACTTAACAGCAGCGAACTGTTGCCCATTAACAGCAGTAATAATGTTAAGAGTGGCACTACACTAACAGCTATTCGTGAGCACATGAAGTTCGTTGCTTGCTTCACGCCAGTCACAAGCATCGGTGGTTCAGTGGTAGAATGCTCGCCTGCCACGCGGGCGGCCCGGGTTCGATTCCCGGCCGATGCAACTAAAGTTTTTTTGGTTTTTTTTTTCTTTAAACTCTGAACATCTGATGACCTTGACGGAACCAAGGCCTGACTGCGGGCGTGCCAAAAATAAATATGCAAATAAGTACTACATATTTAATACAATTAAATTGTTCATATTTTTAGATAGTTGCTTCAATTGTAGGATGCGGTTGTTGCAGTAACACCATTGTCAACATTTTGGCAAACAACACAACGCTGAGCATCAATTGAAGTCAATTGAGCAGCAACAAAATCAGCGCCATTGCTGTCAGGCCTGCAAAAACGTGAACCATACCATGACTGTAATACTCTTTCGTATACGCGGGACGGTCAAAACGTTTTCCCCTTTTCAATTATATTCAATCAAAATGGTAGCGTATAGGATTGGGGACAATTATTCAAGGGAATATTCACAAATTTGAGGGTAATTTACAATAGCAATAGCGAATTGTTAATCTACAAATATAATATTAACGATGCGTGTAGTATAATTAGTAGATCAATGACCATTAAATATTAAAGTGTGTTCAGTGCGACTGGATTGGGGTAAACAAAATTGTTGAGCTATAAAAAACAGCTGTGAAAATTCCCAGCCTGGCTGTCAACAAAAATTTAACATTTTCGTTAAATTTTAATTTAAATGATAACACAACACACGTAAATTACACAGTTAGATGTATGTCCATATGTATGTATGTCGGTGTGTGCATGCATATGCACATATACATGCATACATGAATGCATATGAGTCATCCAAAAAGTTTGCACCCCTAATCAAGTAATAAAAACACAAGAAAGAGCGCCAAAACAAAAACAATAAGTAACTTAAGCTTATGTGGACGCAGTTGTGTGAATGCAAGAGAAAGAGTGGAATAGAGAGAGCGAGAGAGAGGTAGGGAGTGAAAGGGGGCGATTGCAATAGCTGCTGCTGCTGCCGATGATGATGAGTTGTGCGTTCGCGCTTAAATCGCTTACGTAATCTTTGTTGTCAAACAAAAGCGCCTAGGCAATACGCCAAAAACAAATCGACAAACAGGTAGCCAAAACCTCAACCGGCAACGAGCGGTACTTTTATATATACATATGTATATACATAGCTGAAGAGAGTGTGGCAAACGTTTGCCGGTTTCATGAATGTATACCCTGCAATCACGCACTTTGGGATCTTACAGACCTCAGATTTCTATTAATGTTGTTTTTTTTTTTTTTGAAAACTTGACCTTTTTTCTTGGCGAATAAATAAAGAGATTACTTAAGGGCATACATTTTTGAAAAAGTTCAGAGGCTCGTTCATATGTATAAAACAACAAGTGGGTGTTTCCGGTCTCTTGACCTAGGTACAGGGTAGTATCTAGTGGTGTTATTTGTTACTAAGTCATTTTTGTACACATGCAGACATATACAGACACATGAATGTGCGTGTGTGTATTCCTTTAATTCTCGAACGAAGTCTCTCGCACGCGACAACTAGAAAGTCTGTTGGAAGCTACCAGGCCAAAACGTTGCTAGGCGTTGCTCGCTCCGACTTAAGAGAGCTGCGCAATTATGATTTGCACTTTGCACCGTTCCCTTATCACCGTTTGACCGAAAGCAGAGAGCAAATAAACCTGAATACAAAGCTTGCTAAAAATTGTTGAATTGCCAAACCTTATGGAGAGAACCGAAAGGCAAAATAAATACATGAGAACGAATGTATGTAAGTAAATATGTATTTGTGTTAATAAATCACACATACATACATACATACATACTTATGTACTTATATGGATTTTGCAATAAAAATGGGTGAAAAATTTCCAGGCGCGTCTCTACTGTCGCCAGAAAATGTTAGTACACTGCATATTTATAAAGGAAGTCTCTGATATGGGCGCTAAAATTATCTGTGCTGATTAGCTATTGGAGCTAAATTTTTTCAATGTATACACTATTTATATAATAATTAGTTATTCCACAATAGTTTAAGTGATATCAATACAAATTTCGAAAATAGATTTATAATGGATTTGGCAGACAATTTAAATAACAGTAAACATATGCCACTTACACTGAACTATCAAATATGTTGATTGATCTAATTGCTAGAAATACGCTGTCATCGTAATATATTGTAATCGAATACTTATGCATGTGAATAAATCGGCAAGCATGTGTACGTAGTAGGCTAAATTTATAAAAATTCATACATTTATTTGTATGCACGAGTGTGCTTATCATGCGACTACGTTTCCAGCTTATAAATCAAATACGAGTGAAAATCCTACGATTGTGAATTAAGTTTATTATAAACTATAGCCAAAAATTCCTAATTGATAAGAAAATTGTAAATAGTGTACATGCCCATGACCATTTTACGGTTCATGGTACGGAAAATTGCAATTGAATCAAATACGAGCGAGCTGATTAGACGGTTAGTTTAGTTATTAATCAAGCGACAATTTGAAAAAATGATTAAATTTTGATAATCAATATTACTAGCCAACAATAATAACAAAGATCTTTGTAAATAGAGGCCACTAATTGCGGTTAATGATTCATGTGCCACGGCAGCTGCCGCCGATTACTTGAACTTTGCGCATGTGACGCGGCTGCGTGTATGTGTATTCACAGTGAATAATGCACAATTGGGTCTGGCTTGTAAACATATTAGCGAGCTGAAATGCAGCAATTTGAAATGAAACGTAATTACAAGATGCACATCAGTTATGAATGAAACCGGTGAATAAATTACATTGTTGAAGATAAACAAAAAAATTTACGAGCGTCCAGGGTCAAGTTCTACCTAGTAACACGAAAATTCAGACAAGTTGTTTTGTTCAATTTAGCTGTTCATGATAATGCAATTAACTGCCAGAGTTTCTAAGCATATTGCAATACGAGTACTTTCTAGTAGGCTACAAACACAATTTCTTAGTTTTCGAAGTAGGCAAGTCTATGCCGAATTAAAGTTCAAGCTGATTTAATAAATTAGCAATGTCATTTAAAAGGGATTCATATCATAAGTACTAAAAATAAAGCTAGCATTCGTTTAAAATTTGAGTATTTGAATATATTTATAAGTATATTATGAATTTATGAGTGTGATCCGAATTATACCAACTAGCATACATTTTTAATATTTGACTTGAATATCAGTTTTTAAAAGTTGTTTGTATGTAGCAACAATTCTTTCCACTAAGGAATGGATTTTCACAAAATCCAAGTCAATGAAAATTAAATTTAAAAGTGGCTACTGTCAAATAATTATGCGCATGTTTGCTGTTAGCTAACATTTTGGCGTGGCTGTAATGTAGATGCCACATACAGTTAACAGCTGGGCAGTGGCGTGAGATCGCTGCACTCACACACGCACACGCACACGCTCACGCACACATAAGTATACATGTGCAGTGTGTGGGAGGGAAAACAAAATCAAAAACAAATTGCATTGGGCCCACATATCGATATTGTTAACTTTTATGTACATCTGCTTGTGTTGCATTTTCTATTGCTCTACTTACGGTTCGCGCAGCACCGGCGCTATTTTGTACAAACAATCCAGGAACTGCTCATCGAGACACCAAACGCTCGGCTTCAGTGGCTGGCTGTGTACATTGAGGATGCGGAATAGAATGCACACGATGACAGCGATGAGCGTTAAAAAGGCGGTGGACATCTTTAGGTTTTCTGTTCCGCACCTGTAGGTGTCGCTTGCGACCTCAAGGATGTTGATGCGTCCTTCTACCCTTGCAGCAGTCGTTGTTGCTACTCAACTTGTCACTGCACCCTGAATATTACAAAATTCTGGTTATACAAATCAGAACTGCGGCTTATGAGTTATGATTAGAAATGTGACTTTATTAATTTGTGTTGTACACAAAAAGCTTACTATGTTTTACAGCTGGCAAGGCGGGCGGCGGCTGTAAAGTGTTTGTGACTTTCTTAACAGGCACGCATACAACACGCACACGAAGCGGCAATTGCCGCAAAGAAAACAAGGTCGCGATTCAGGACACACGCGTTAGTAAACTGCACTTATGTATGTAAATCAATTATTTACACCGTTTGTCTTATCATATACAAGAAATTTTTTTCGACTTTAATTCAGCAGTGTTACTCAGTCAATGGTCCTCAATCGTCTGGTGTTGTTTTCAACCAGGTTATGTTAACTAGCAGGCGCTGTTTTACTCAAAATGGCACTGTTACGTTTTTTGTCATTTTTTAGTACATTTTATGCAGGCAAACTGTATTTGCGCGCCAAGCATATTTTCTATTAATGCCGTTTCAAATATTTGGAACAAATATATTTTGAATTTAACATCCAATTTACATATTTTGCACAATTATTACATTTTATTTCTTATTATCAGATCAGATTACTGATAACGACTCACATATAAAATACATATCATGTGTACAAATTTCATCATTCATCTTAAGACTTTTATCAATGTTCCATAAATGAACGCAATGCTCCCTCTTACCTTTATTGTCTGGTTGGGCAACATACCAGATCAAATAGGGAGCCTTGCGACCGGTGGTAAGTGATATATATAGTCCTTCTTTATAGAGATCATTGACGTCAAGCCAATAATTATGATTGTGGTTTAATTTGGCTTTTATTGCTCCGTACTCTCTTTCATTTTGGATGCTAGCCAGGTGACCACCACGTTGTTGGCATTCGTATGCCGCAGCGAACCAGCTCATCTTGTGTCGATCTTCAATATAATAATATTTCGAACCTATTTTCGTGAAATGGCTGGGATGATCTTTTCGTTTCCTTTCGATCACTTGCAACTTTCCTTCCTGTTGAGCAACCTTCTCTTGTAGTACCAAAAGCTGACTCGTAATATTGTTGTACTTAGTTTGGATGTCATCGAACTTCGACTGCAGGCCTACCAATTGTTCCTCAATCTTTATAAATTTTGGTTGGACATCAGCAACCTTTTCATGTGAAAGTGTCAGCTGCTTGCCAAAGTCTTCCAACTTGGCTTGAGTATCTGCATTCTGTCTGTCTTCGTGGCTAGCGACCTGTTTCTGCAATATGGCCGTCTGTTCCAGCACAGGTTTCACTATTTTGAAACAATATTTGCCACAAGTATTTTCCAATTCACTCGGCTCCTCACAGGACTTTGACAAAGACACATTTAGCTGCTGATATTTAATGATTAAAGACGAAAACCTACCGAACTGCTGCCTATAAGAGCTGCCTCAGAAATTAGAAGCGCGATTAGAATAATGTACATTTTGTTTGCTCTCTATTTTCAGAGTTTACCAAAGAAGTCAACAGACAACTAAAATGAATGCACAATATGCTGCATTATATGTATACAGTGTGTGCCAGTATTTTGATATTGTTTTTATAATCTTTGAATATTCTCTGCATTCTTTAGAAATGGTAGACGAGGTTATCAACTTAGCAAAATATGAGGTTCATATGTTATCAAGCTCGAACAAATATGGTTTGAACTTGGAAAATATACAAAGCGCCTTTAATATTATTGTACTACATTTCCTGGAATTAAATACGAACAAAGAAAAATTATATAAATCCATCTTGGCTTGGGTATCTGGATTCTGTCTGTCGTCGTGGCTACTTTATTGTTTCTGCAATATGGCCTTACGCTCCAGCACAGGATTCACTACTTTAAAACAATATTTGCCAGAAGGATTTACCAAATTTCTCGAATCCTCGCAGGACTTTAACAAAGACACTTTTAATAGCTGATATTGAATTATTAAAGAGGAACTGCTCCTTATAAAAGCTGTAAATCATAATGAACAACTGAAGAATAAGGTTTGCGTCAAATGAAAAGGCATAGCAGACCCAATGAAATATCCATTCAAATTTTTGTCGATTTGATCATTCTCGTCTGTATCTTTAGCTGGGTATAAGGTATTTTCTAGTCGGTCACTTCCGTTACTTGATATTCTTTTATTGATTTGCTCATATTATCCAGTCAAGCAATGTAACGGTAAATGTACATTTAAATCAACCTTTTGGCGGACTTACAACTGTTGATTGCTCTTAGAGACCAATAGCAGGAGTCTTATCGATAGCAGTTCGTAGACACTTTTCGCGATATATCGATGCATATCGATAGTTTGGCATTCACTCAGCGAGAACACGTATGTGCATATGTGCGTGCGCCAAAAAGGCAATGAAAAATTAAAGTTCAAGTAATGTTGCTTACCAGCAGCACAATTACCGCATTTGTTGCTTAACATACGTAAGTGCTGGCATATAGAATTCGAATAGAAAAGATAATGCCCATCGATTTTACAGGTTATGTGTGGGTACCGCAGCGGCAACACGGCAACAAAACAAGCAACAGGAACACCGTTGCCCGGCACGTCGACGACGCGACTTAAACATAAATATAAATTACCAGCAACCATTCCAAACGCCCCAAAATGATGATGCAAATTGTGTGCCTACTGATTGGCCGACTGCTGCTCATATGCGTCGCCGCCTACGAGCTGCTGCAACAGCTCGGCCTGCGACTGCATGCGCTCGCTCGCAGGTCATATGACTACTGGCAATGTGATCAGCATGAGTTTCTTAGGCGTGCCAAGCACCAGCTGGAAAAGCTGCCGCAGCACCTGGTGCTAGTTATTGCCCCGGACGATTGTTATGTGGATGCGTCGCTGCTTAAACTCGTTTTCGGCTATGCCCAAGTTGTTGGCATACCCTATTTAAGTGTGTACGATACGCGTACACCCCGGCTTGGCTATGTGGAGCTATCGCACTTCTGCCAGCCCAGCGGGAAGAGCGATCGGTGCTATCTCTGGCCGCTCAAGCAAAAAAAGGAACAAAGTTTACAGCCGAACGGCTGCAAAGCTGTCGCTGCAAATGGCACAGCCAATGGCTATGCAAGCAACGGTGGGCATTACGCCCAGCTGCAGGTGAGTTATCATTTAGGAACTGATAAGGGCTTATCATAAACTAGCGGAAGTAATGGAAACGACGCTCCAATACATAGCAAGTGTATATATTCTGCGCACTATGTGGACTCCCTTTAATCTTTTAATCTTATTAATATCATCTAAATTTAAAAGCTGTATCAGCTTCAATAGGTTTTGTCTGCACACATAGCTCAAGTTGATTAGGGAAGGGCATTCAATCTTCGGCAACCCGAATATATTTTTAGTTAATTTGGTATCTGTCGTTTCCATGGAAGTGCCAAATCAGTTTCATGTATTTCGGTTGATTAGAACCTATTATTATTATTTTGTTCTTATCGCTCACAACTCGTTCCCTTGCAGGTCTATCAAATCGGAAGCTCTGACGGTCATGCGCTTATAGCCGATGTCTGTCGCGAGCTGTACGAGAATCGCACAACAACTCAGGTGCAGGAGATGCTGAAGCAGCGCCAGTCGCTAACCGATGGCATTGATGGCATGTTAAATAAGCGGCTGGGCTTTGCGGTGCCGGAACCGGAACTGGGCATCATTTTCTCCAGACAGACGTGCACATACGGCCTGCTGCCGTGGCATGTGCGCTTCACCGAGTTTCACACGCATCGCAGCGGGCGTTACTTTGATGCTAAATCATTTGCCAAGGTGCTCTATAAATATGCGCGCTGCGAGCAGCGTTGGGGCAAATAGATATTAAGTTAAACATGGTCCCTATGTTCTAAACTAATTAAATTAATTTAATATATATGTCGTGTATCCAATAAATTATTGTGAGTATTATTTTGAATGCTAACGATTAAGTGTTAGTAAGAATCAGAGAATTTGACAGAAGGTACTGCTATTTAACATAACTGTCCTACTTGTATTAGGGTTGCTACTGAAAGCATGGTGTGAGACAAAAAAGATAGTCTCTGCCGAGCATGGCCCGAGTGTGTTGTATAACGTCCAGTTTGCTATAGTGTTGAATGTTCACTAACAGTACTAAAAGTCAGAGAAGAATATAGAATGACAAGAGCATGAGTAGTATGCTCGAGGACGATGAAAATTATTCATTCTAAAAGTGGAAGTCATAGAGAACAGACGTGCTCGCTCCTAAAAATATAATTATTTTGTGACTATAACGACACTCGGGACTTGCTGTGCTGCCAGTATGCCTAATTGCAAAGAAAGTGATTTCTCTATTCCGACATCAGAAGTGGGATTAGGCGATGCCCCTCCACGAGGCAATTCTGACGATTCGTGGCGTCAGCTTTTGGAATCTCAAAATCGAAATATTCTTGAGATTATTAAAGCAATGCAGATGTCAAATTCAGCATCCTCAACAAAGAAGAGCATCTCGTTGCCAAAGTTCAACCCGGACATTGCAGGCGCAGATGCAAATGCCTGGTGCAAAACTGTGGACATAATACTTGACGATAATCCTATTGAGGGCAGTACACTGGTGATGACCCTCAGCGGCTCCCTAGAAGGAAGCGCCTCGCCCTGGCTTTCTCAAATATGCTATACTGGAATGAACTGGCAAAATTTTAAGGAATTGTTTTTGCAACGTTTCGTGGGAATGGAAACATCGGCGGCAACTTTAATGAACATTTTTAATGGCCGACCGAATGATGGCGAATGCCTCTCCGTATATGCGAGCCGTCTTGTGACGTCACTTTTATCCAAATGGAAGACAGCGAACATGGAGGAAATTGCAGTCTCAGTTGTTTTGGCACATACATCGAAAATCGACAAAAGTCTGCAACGTATGTTATATACGACTAATATTAAAAGTCAAGACGAGATGCAACAGCATCTGAAGGCCTATGCTTATGGAAGGTCAAATGGAGGTCTACAGCCAAATATCCCAATGGAACCAGATCGCAAGAGATCGAAAACATATGGCATTAAATGTCATCATTGTGGAAACCTCGGACACAAAATGGTCGAATGTCGCAAGAGGAAGTATGAAGAAGGCAACGTGTCAAAAAACTCAGCATTACCTAAAGTTCGATCTGCCGTTACCTGCTTCAAATGTGGCGATGCTGGCCACATTGCGTCTTCATGTACGAAAGGAGTTTCTACGAGCGGTGTTGGATCACATGACAAGCGTATAAACATCTGTTGTGTGTCCGAGCCAAAAGGAATCCTGCGTCAATCTGGTGAGCTCGTTCCATTTTGTTTTGACTCTGGAGCGGAATGTACGCTCATCAGAGAGAGTTGTGCCGAGAAATTTTCCGGAAAAAGAATTAATAATTTGATAGTTTTGAGGGGTATTGGAGAAAATCCTGTGTATAGCACTATGCAAATCTTGGCTACTGTTAAAATTGATCAGTACTCCTTAGAAATATTATTTCATGTAATAATGGATAAGTTTTTGAAATACGATGTATTGATAGGCCGTGATATACTCGGATTAGGCTTTGGAGTCTCCATCGAGGCCGACAAATTTGAAATGTACAAAACCAAAACTGTTGATGTACTAATAAAAGTGCCAGATATAAGTTACGTAGAGCATCTGAATAACGATAGAGCATTAAGCAACACTGATAAGAATCGTCTGCTAGAATTATTGCAAAACTATGCTGATAAATTTATTGAGGGTATTCCTCAAACGCGAGTGACTACGGGTGAACTTGAAATCCGCCTGCTTGACCCAAATAAAACTGTACAAAGGCGTCCGTATAGGTTAAGCATAGAAGAAAAAGAAGTCGTGCGAAATAAAGTAAAAGAATTGTTAGACGCAAACGTTATACGTCCTAGTTGCTCTCCATTTGCAAGCCCAATGCTGATGGTAAGAAAGAAAAATGGAACCGATCGACTATGTGTCGATTATCGGGAACTGAATGCTAATACGGTCGCTGACAAATATCCGCTGCCTTTGATTTCTGATCAAATTAATAGACTGAGTGAAGGCAAATATTTCTCCAGTTTAGACATGGCAAGTGGTTTTTACCAAGTTCCAATACACCCAGACTCTATCGAGCGCACTGCTTTTGTCACGCCAGAAGGACAGTATGAATTTTTGGCCATGCCTTTTGGATTAAAAAATGCTTCCTCGATTTTCCAGCGCGCAATCGTGAGAGCATTGGGTGATTTGGCTCAAACGTATGCCATCGTCTATATAGATGACGTGTTAATTCTAGCGAAGACAAAGGAAGAGGCACTTGAAAGGCTACAAACGGTCTTGGAAAACTTGTCTAGAGCTGGATTCTCATTTAACATTACAAAATGCTCGTTCTTGAAAACAAGCATAGAATATTTAGGATACTTGGTTGAAGCGGGTCAAATTCGACCAAATCCACGCAAGATACAAGCGTTGGCCGAATTGCCGTCACCGCAGTCAGTAACGCAGGTGCGACAATTCATAGGCCTAGCCTCGTATTTTAGG